TTGTGCTTTGTAAACTTATACAGTGCTTTATGAAGTAAGGCATGTTTCCTATTTTAAAGATCTTATAATCTTGTGGGCTGATAAGGGGTGCAGATTATCCCTTGGATGTTCATAAATAGCATTAGCGCTAAGAGTTTTATTAGCGCTGGGTCCTTTCAAGCCTGTGGCTTCTTTCTTTTTCATAACAACACTTTCCTAGTCAAGTACCGAAATAAGGATTTTGACACCTTGATCTTCCAGGCTGGAACAGTCTGGGCATTCTTTTGTTTTGCTAGTAGTGAAAGAGCAAAACCCAGGCAGAGTCCCAGCGCAGTGACTGTTGCTCTGCATGGGTTTAATCCATCGCCTTTGCTTGCCTCTCTCTCTGAGACTACAAATCTGGAGTTTGGGTGATGGCAGCAGAGAGCACGCCTGGGAGGTTTGTGTGTGTGTGTGCGTGCGCACGCGTGTTTTAAATAAACAAACAATGGAACAGCGACTTCAACAAATTGTGAGTGGTGCTAATTTGTTATAGTGCTGTCTTGCCTTCTGGCAGTGTTGATTTAGGAGAAGCTGAGCAGACCGGAACGGATGCAGGGAGCCACTGGTTCTTTTGCTGTGGGGTGTGTATATAGTTCAGTATAAAATGCTTCTAGGGGTCCTGTCCTGAGGAGCTTCCAGATTACAGGGTAAAGCTCATGAATAGGCTGCCAATCCCCTTTTCAAAACCAAATCTGGGGCAGAAGTACCTTCCCCTCTGCCTTGCTCCTCCCCTTCCACTTCTTTTAAATGGAGAGACGTTTTAAGTCTCGATTCATGACAAGAGCCTATAATTTGTGTGTTTTGAGGACTGCCATAAAATCTTTGCCTTTGACAAGAATAGTGTGCAGGGAAGGAGAGGAGGAAGATTATTTGCTTTGGATTATAGCAAAATTTTCAACGCCCCATGACCTTGCTGGGCTGCCTTTCATAACGTGCCTGGGGCTGTAATCCCCAAAGCTGAGAAACTGTCTGACAGAGAAGGCTGGCCAAATGCGCATGAGCTATCTGCAGCCCTGGACCGCTGCTGTGCAGTGCTGCAAGATAAGGATGGCAGGATGGAAGCCTTGCTGGGAAGAGGTGGATTTTGGAAGCATATGTAGAGTGACCTCCTTGCAGCCTGTGAGCTGAGTTTAAAGGAAGTCTGAAGTCTCAAGTGAAGAAGATGGAGGAATATAAAACAGTCAAAATGAGAAGTAGTGTCTGAGGAGAGGCAGCCAAAGAAATGAAGAATTTTGAAAATGAGTAAACCCTGCTTTCTCCTTAAATTGTCTTCAGCTTGGACAGTTTTGCATGCAACGCAGAGCTTGCAAAACGTTGAGTCTGTTAGTCCTTCTGCTTTTACAAGCAATAGAGGCTTTCTGGCATCCTCTTGTTTGCCATGCTCAGAGCTGCAGAAACATTTTTTGGTGGTTGCAGAGCACCAAATGTATGAGGGAGGGTTCAGGATAATCAGTTAAGCATCTGATTCGGAGGGACATTTGGCAGGCAGTACAGGCTTGATACTGCCAGGACCAATTCTTAAACAGTGGTTTGCTTGAAGGGCTTCACAGGAGTACAGCTTAGAGACAAAGATTTCTCTGGGAGGTACAGGGCTGAGTACATGGTCAGTTCTTGGCAAAAAACTTAAAAATGGTGGATAAAGTGCAAAAGGTGCTGTATTTAAGGCACTGATTATTTGTGTTAAGGAGAACTGCCGCTGCTGCTGCATTTGCAGGTATGCATGAGATAAGAGAATGAGATTTGGCCGTGTAGAAGAAAATGAGACAGCAAAGTTTGTTTCTGTGCTCACTAGTACCTGGCATGTGGTGAGAGAGATAACATTTTGGTCCAAGGCTGTTACTACCCATGTCCTTCCTGCAGCCCTCAGCATGAAGCTCAGTGTTAACTATCGCAACAAGTTCACAAAATTAGCAGTATTCTGTATGCAGATACTCCACACAAGAAATAAAAATAAGCAGGCCAATCAAACCCTCTTCCATTTCTCCCAGTACTCTGAGGCCTTGTTTGCTCTAACAAACCCTGTAACTATGGGGTCTGAGTCACAATCTCTAGTGGATTTAACACTCCCAGCCGCCTGCCTCATCCCTGTCCTGGAGATCCCTCCCTAGTTGCAAGGACGGCTGAGAGAGCCACGCATTTGCTCCAGTATTGCTGCATTTCATAACCCCGCTATCAGCTTGTACCTTCTGGTGACTCAAAGCCCTAAAGCTGTGCTGCAGCTGGGAGGGTGCTGTAAGACAGTTGGGAAAAGCTGGAAAAGGGTCACGACGTTCCTTCTTCTCCACAGTGCTGTGTGCTCTTGCTGCCAGAGCAACACCCAGCATGAAGCTGCCACCCTGTGCACACCCTGCCAGCTGAAGGACAGGTCCAAGCTTTTAGGACCAGAAGCATCTTCTCACTCCATGTAATTCATAGGGCTGTTGATTCTGCCTAACACTCTCCAGGATTAGCTGGGAGGTAGCAACAATCCTTTAGTCATGTCCTAAATTCTTGCATTGTAAAGGGCAAATTCTATACACCAAGGCTCAAAGGTAGCAGGGAAACAGGAATTTTGCATACCAAAGGGGCCTTAACTGGTGGATGGGTAGAGGGCATCCTTCCTCCTGTGTGAGCTGAGCTACTCCACTGAATATGTGGGTACTTTAGTGGTATGTGGAGTCCTTAGATTAGCATGGGACATCAGAGCTGCCTTTACCACTTGCAATGCAGGTACAGGTGGAGCTGAGCTCACTCGGTTGTTGCAGGGCTGCAGAAGAGCTCAACAGCTATTGCTGCTCACTAGCTGCTCGCTAGCTTCTGAGGCTTTATTTGTTTTGCACCACTGCTGTGTTCCTGAGATCAACTGTGCTCTGCAGATATGCAGGAATTTTTAGTGCCTGGCTCTGCTTGACAAGATCTGCAATGTCCATGTCTCTTCTCTTCTCCTCCCGCTAAAGGGTTTGGATAGTCCTAGGCTCCTTCATGTCAGCAGTGAAAATAAATGTGTAGTATACAAGGGCTCTGTTTAGGAATTGGCAGGAAGCTTCATTTCTGACTGCAGTGTGATGTTCTAACAGTAGGAAACCCCTTTGTTTTAAACAGTTCTCTGCTAATCTCTGCCCTAGAGGGGAAATACAGCTATAGGGAAGAGCCTCTTGCTTCACAGTAGCAAGAAGCAAATTGCTGTGATCTGGGTGTAAATCTGCTATTGAGCTGCTGTCTCAAAACCTGTCCAAGAAATACCTTTAAGCAGCATTCAGCCTTTCTTGAGCTGAGCATTGCTGGTATTGCTGAGTTTTGCAGAGTCCTGATGCTGGCAGATGCAGCCAGTAATATGTGGCTCATATGCAGTCTAAAGTGTGTGATCTCTTAGAAAAGGGGGAGCTCCAAATCCCTGGGGCTCTGGCCTGTTATGCTTAAAGTTGCTATTTAACGTGGGTTGGCCTGCTCATGCTGGCAGTGGTCCGTTCAGACTAGTTCAGCAAATGCTCTTGGCTCAGCATAGCCCAGGTCAGTAAGCAAACACTTGCTTACATTTCACTTCTTTATTGTATTGACAAGAGTTAAAAATCTTCAGTCTACAGCAGTCAAAACAGGGCGATCTGAACACAAAAGACCTATTAGTTCAGTGTGAAAGGGATTTAGTTTCAGAAGTGGGGGGATAAGAATGCAGGTAGGAGTGATGGGAACACTGTCCTGGGCCTGAGCCCAGAAGAAGTCCAGGCAGAATGAAGAACTATCTCCTGACATTCAGGGTCCTCTTCATGACAGCACTTTATATTTGCCAGGCTAGTGTCCTCCTTTATGTTCTCTCTCATCCTACTATATTCATTATTGTAAGTCTCTTTCATTTGGCCTTTTATCTTTTAAGGTTGAAATTATAATCAATCAATATTCTTCTAACTTTTTAATGTAAGATTTCTATCATCTCCAGCAGCACAGCTGGAGACATGCAGCCATCCATGTGACAAGAGCTATGCAGAAGTTTCACTTCGCCATGAGGGTCTAAAACCTGTTTTAAATCCCTGCAAGGCTACAGGCTTATTTCTGTTCCCCCCCTTTTTTTTTTTTAATTTTTTTTAATTTTTTTTTTTCACTGCAGCAGCATCACCACTTGTAGAGAGGGACCTGTGCTTAGCATCTACCCTGAGACTGTCCTCCTTGATAACCCTGCCAGAGCCGATTACAGGAACTTGGGGGGGAAGGAGGATACGCACTGCAGAGAATACCCTAGGCTTGACAAGGGGCGTATCTGTGGGATGTGCCTTTCCCTGATATGGAAAAGATGTTGTTGCGTTTTCCTTTGGGCAGGGAAGGGTGGAATTATAGATCTTCAGTTTTGCGACTCTCGTACCAGCTGCAGTTCACCATGAATCAACTTGATCTCCAGCCTCCAATAACGTAGATTAAATTATCAGTGAAGCATCGTTATGAATAGGAGAGGGTATAGAGTATTTTCTTTTCCCGTCTTGCACCACAGATGTAACAAAAGCCAAAGGACCCAGCCTGGCTCAATGCCATAACATCTCTAGAAGAGCAGGATTTCAAAGCCTTGGGAAGGGGGACAGGGAAATTTGGACAACACAGAGGATCAGCATTTAAGTATTTCTTCCATTGCCTGTACTGTGTGGGTAACGAGACCATAAAGCTCTGGCACCAGGCTTTTCTTGTTGTAGAGGCATTTATAAATGGTGATATTTAGTTGCCTGAATCTCTGGGCAGAAGGAAGCTGGTGCAGACATCCTGGGATCTGCTGGTCTTGGATATATATGGACTGGTCCCCCTGAAGCTCAGTGCCGTTGGGAGTCCTGAACGGAGGTGGCCTGAGAGGGTCATTGAGAAACTTGCAGAGGCCTTCTGCTCCGTTTGCATCGCAGTTCAGCAGTTCTGGGGAGATGGGTGGAGGGGAGGTTGTTCTAGTAGTTACATATTTAAGGCAGGTGGCCATTTTAAAATGTACGTTTCAATTTTGATTGCAGTTTTTTAATTGCATTTAACAGCGTCCCTGCTGGTTCTCCATTCTGCATCCGTGCAGCCACGTTCTATTGATGGCCTGTTGTGATTTCAATGGAACATCATGGGATGTACCTGGCACGTCGGGCAGCACTGGATGGAGGTGCCTTTAGCCCAATGTACCTGGCATGGTAAGCGGCAACCAAGTGGTTAATCTGCATTCTACTGCTCGTAGTCTCAGCTTGTATAGCAAGGTGTCCCTGCTTTGCTGCAGCCTTGCACTGACTGGAAATCACTTTGCTCTCCTGATGTTAGTGCTTTCATGCACACAGGGCCCCTACCCTTTTCACCCATGGAGATTCCCCTTACCTGGGCAGTTTGCCATGCAGTAGAGAAGGGCCTAGCCGTGTCAGGCCCTCCTTGTTACTCTAGAACAGGAAAGAGAAGGGACTGGGGAAATCATCTGACTCTTTTCCTTCTCTCCTTTTTGGGCCAGGAGCTGGTAGCAGTTGAGCATGTATTGCCCACATACCTAATGTCCAACCGTTGCCGCACAGAGGTACCAAACAGGTGCTTGTGTCCATAAGCAAAGCTATACTGTTTCTGTGGGAGTCCTGCAACAGCTGCTTCAGGGAGCCGGGAGGGCAGTTCTGCCTGGCACTAATTGGAATGTAACAAACTAAACAAGGGCCACTTTAAGTTTGCTGATGTGGTATCCTCTTCAAAATGGTCCTCCATTCTCCTTCTCCTTTCCATGTCCACACCTACAACATCAGCTGCACATCCTGCTCTGCCCTGCATGTCGCTTTCTCTCCCTTCCCCAGCTTTGCAGACCTCTCCCCAACAAAGACATGTTGGTCTTACCTATTTTGAAGTGAGAGATATTCCTGTGAGGAAAAAACAAGGGTGCTGCATCCTGTTTTCTGCTTGAGCCCACCTCACCGAGCTTTTGCTGCTCCACTGCCAATGGTGAACATGCATGTTCTTGCCTGTTCCTGAGTTCTGCTGTCTGCCTGCTCAAAGGGGCAGGGGATAGGGAACCATTTGGGCTAACACAGTTCCTGCATTCCTCCCTATGCCTCTGCTGCTCTGGAATGTGAATACCTTTACAAGGCATGGGCTAATGACCTGCCAACTGCAGCTCCTGGGGGGAAGGTTAGTGGCCATGAAAGCCCACCTTACCCATACCTCAGGAGAGTCCTGGAAATAGGTTCTGTTGGGATGTGGGGAGAGGAAGATCAGATGAGCCAGTGAGCAACAGGAAAGCCCTCTTCCCAGTGGGGTCTTCAAGTGCTCTAAAAAAGTTAGTTCATCTGAAACCGAAGGGTGCAGAAGTCAGCTGTTTCAGTTTCACCCAGATCCAGTAGCAGCTGGATGCAGCATATTTCATGTCAGAAGTAAACTGGTGGGCAAGAGCAATATAGAAAACAATCGATTTAATTTTGCCTTGTTCTTCCCCATGCTCACTGCTGCAGTGTCTGCTCAGTGCAGCACAACTGCTTGGGAAGGTGGAGAAATAAGTAAGCAGGCCACTATCTTTTCCTAGGTATATTATAATATGCACAGTAGGCTAACGCTTTAATGGCATCTGATTTGATACATCACATCTAATCTGTTTGTTGGTTTTTATCTGCAGTACTGTTAGTTCACTGTTCAGGTGCTCGGTGTCTAGCCTTCTCATCCATCCACAAATCCTCTACGTGAAATGAGTGATTCCTTAGATCTGTTTTTGATTGATTCTTTGCTTCACTGGTGTTGCTTCTTAAAAGGTAAACAATATTCATATGCTGCAATCTATAACTCAGAGACGAAATCAAATAGCATCTCCTGCCAGAGGCTGCTAAGATAACACATTTAGCATTCATTCAGCAATTACATTTATGAAGAGATTTAGTGATATTAAAGAGAATCAAATTGTAGTGAATATGTAGATTTTATACTATTTAAAGGGGTGAAGGGATTCCTCTTCTCCTGTACTTTGGCAATCTAATTTTCTGTGATGTCCAGAGTCCTTGTGGAAATTGAGAGAAAATTAAGTTTTTCCTGCTTTATAGCGAGAGCAGCACGGCTCCTGGAGCAGTCTGTTCTGCACAATCGTCATGCCCACAGGATCACAGCGTGCCCCGGGCTGGGCACAGCAGCCCGCAGTTACCCAGCTCCTTGGGCAATATTGCTTATGAAGACACTATCAGCTCTTCGCTTGCGAAGCTTTGTTTGATGTGTGGCATCTGCTTGCAGCATTACTGTATTCTGTGATTTGTGCCCTGTATTTTCATGTCTTTGCATGTGCTGTGTCTCAGTGTCATGGATATGGTGGAGGTAGTGGAGAGCCTCAGTCTTGCTTCATTCCCTACTTGCACAAGAATATTTGAGCAGGTTCATTGCTCTGAAAACTGTGTCTTGAATGACTGGGAAGCAACCTGAATCTGAAAAAAAGACCATCTCTGATGCTATTTGTCCAAAGCCTTCTGTGATCCTGTTTTAAATGCAAAGGAGTGAAATTTTCCACACACCAAATTCAATGATAAAAGACTGTGGCCTCAGTGAGACATCTACATATTCCTGAGGTCTGGAGTTTGATTTTTTTTTTTTTTACTAGAAACGCATTTGAGCCTTTTCTGAGCCAGGGCTCAAGACTGTGGCCTCAGTGAGACATCTACATATTCTTGAGGTCTGGAGTTTGATTTTTTTTTTTTTACTAGAAATGCATTTGAGCCTTTTCTGAGCCAGGGCTTCTCTGAACTGGGAGTATGTTTTTTTCTTTTTGCAGAAAACAGAAAAGGAAGGGTTCTTAAAAATGATACTGAGATACAAGAAATATAAACCCCTGTGATTTTTCAGGGCTTTTTGGGGCTTTTGTTGTCGTTATTGGTGGTGGTGATGTTATCCAAATGTTCAGGGTTTGTTAAGAGCCAGTCTCTGCAAACTAACGGATAGCAAGGCCTTTGTAAGGCTGCACCTGCCATTTGTTGGGAAGATCTGCTCACTTTTATGCTGGACTTAACCTCATAGTTGTCTTTGGTCCCATGCTTTCAGCTAGAAGCGAGATCTTAGGAATGCCATAGATCAAGGAATAATGCCTGCTTCTCTTTTGCTAACAAGTTTTCCAACACACCCCTCTCCCCCCCACCTCTGAAATGCATCATTGCTAAAGAAGGGTTTGTAACTGGTCAGCTATGGAAAATATCTGGAATGGATTTCTTTTCGTTCAGGACTGCACAAGATACACAAGCCAGGTTGATGCTATAAAGCTTTTCTCAACACAGGTACGTCAGTCAAAGGTGTGTTCTCTGACCCCTGTTGCTGTCCTGGTAAAAGCCCTTGGTGGGCAATTCTGGCAAAATTTTAAACATGGGGCTCTAAGCTTGGCTGAAGGTTTTGCTGCCTTGTTCCATTACATTCATTTTGTTGGGGTTGCTAAATCCATGTTAGACTTCAGCTAACAAATTCAGATTTTATAGGCAGTGTTATAGTGCTTAAAACTGACCACTGCTTTTAAAATCAACTAAAGGTAATAACCTGCCTCATACTTATGTCCTACTGAACAGGAATACTTCTATAAAATTTGACGTGAGAAAAATGAGGTAAACAACTTGTACTATGCTAATTTTTACACTGCAGAACATACTGAGGTTTAATAATAAAATTATCTTCCTTGTGCAGGTCAGAAAAAAGCAGAACTATAATTCTAACCCAGTTTCCAGGGCTTTCCCTGCAGGCTCACTACCTGGTTTCAATATCATTTAAGACAGAAAGAAAAAAAAAACAGAAGTCAAAATTGAAAAATATTTCCCATTAGTAGCTGCAGCAAGACTGGACTCTTTGCAAAGGCTTACACAAGCGTATACAGAGATTTCTAGACCTCTGCTTGGAGTGCCACATGACTGGGAAATAAGCTCGCTTTTACTTCAGGAACATGTTTTGGTTTTTTTTAATTAGTCTGTTTAGGCAAAAAATATTGGCTGTGCTGTTTCCTTTCCTTTCCTGTATTTGCCCTTTATGGAACACTTAAAAATCATACCCAGGGATTTTGTGTGCTATGTGCATGGAGAAGCACCATTACGTTTGTAGTGGAAACAGTGTAGTAGTAGGCTGTCGCTTGCTATGCTTGAGCAGGATGCATTTATACAGAGAGATGCTGTGTTATGTTGCAAGCCATGTTTTTGTCTTTCCCTATCAATATATCTCGGTGACCCAGAAGTAAGTGCTTTTACTGGCCTGGCTAGATAAAAGTGGGTATTTGGTGCCTCTGTGCTGTTGCTTCTTCCTCTTAATCAGCAATTCTGGAAGCAAGCCACTAGAACCAGACACATTGCCTGCGTGCTGCAACTCTGATGTAACTAATTACAGCAAAACTTGTTTTTAAAGTGCTCAACACTGTTCAGTGGTGGTAATCCCTGTCTCTGTCACGTTTTTGTGATGCTGCAGGGTGAGTTTCTGTGACAGAAACACTATCGATGGAGAAGAAATAACTGGCTAGCACCATGGCAAGCCTGTATTTCCTCCTTTTGGCTGCCACCCTTTCTAAAGCCCAGCCACCTCTGGGAACAACATTAATGTGCACAAAGGCACAGCAGTGAATCCACCGTCTTCTTGGGTTCCCATCCATTGCTGAAACAATATAGAACAGAAAAGCAGAGCAGCCATGTCAGCTGTGGGTCAAGGTGACGAGGCACTGAGATCTGTGTGGATGCTGAATTAGGTCCTGGTGCACTGAACAGGGGCCACAAAATTCTACCAGATGTGTAACCATGTACCAGGCTGATGAGCTAACCAAGCGAAGAAATGTGTCCTGTGGAAGAAGGGAGGCATCTGCTTGGCAGATCTGTTGGTAAACGTATAAGTACCAGGCTAATCAGGCAGCAAAATTGGAGGAAAAATTGTATTCATTCACATTCACTTACTTTTTGGTAGCTTTTTTCATAAAGCAAAATCTTTCTGTTGTGCAGAAATGGATGATGTAAATTTACCACCTTTCTGCCAAATTAAATATTTCTGTTCATCACCAGTTAGTGAGAACCAGGTTTGAGGGAGGTTGTTTTTAAAATTGACAGTATCACTCCTTATGTACTTTTTCTTGTGTACACATACTTGACACAGAGGGAAGATAACGCAGTCTAATGCTTCAGCATTTGAAACCTGATGGGACAGGATGTGGTAACGGGAGTCACAAGCAATAAAAACATGAACTGGTGATGATTTTAAGAGAAAATTTAAGCTCTTAATTTCTATGGATTTACAGCCTGCTCCTCCTTCAGTAAGAGAAATCTCTTTCAATAATATGATGAACTGGGAAAGGAAGGAAGGAAGTGGAAGGCTAAAGGTGGCTGTTGTATGTTTGGTATTTAACTCCTACACTGGAACCTCAGAAACTATTTTAAATCGATTTTAACAGATAAATGTCCATTACAAGTAATAGTTGGCACTTTAAAACAAAAAACTCAAGAAAAAAATTTGAAAATTGATCTTGAATTCCTGCATGCAGCCCCAGATTAAGTTCTAGTTTTTATGTGTTGTGGTGTCTAGCAAATGTGCAATTGCAATTAGTTCTGATAGGCCTCAGACTAAGTATTTCATACAGTCCATACTACTGGGAAAGCCAACAGAAATATCTAAACTAAAATACACAGTGAATGCTGTTTGTGAAACACATGAACTACACAGAGGTAACCACAATTCTCCTCTCTCCCCAGTACTTCGGGGTAGAGAGATTGTGACTTGAGATAGGTTACCTGACTCTATCAGTTTAAACAAAATTCCTTCAAAACTAAAGGCAGGGCAGAATTAACGTAAGAAAACAGTTTCAGATTGTTGAAGACATTTGGTGGCACTTAGCTAGCTCAGCATCCTGAATTTCAGTCAGTTCAGGGTTGATTCTAGCCCCTCCTGTCAATGGACTGGGATATGGACATTGCCGGGGGGTGGTTTTTAAAGCAGCCTTTCATACTCTTAAGGAGATTCCTCATTCACACCTCAGTGTGATTAATTCCATCTTCAATGGATTTAGTTGCTACATGTCATTTTCTCAACCCCACAGCAGCTGGGTGTTGTAAGATTTCAACATGTAAGAGCCAAGAAACAAACTACATGTTAAAGCAGGGAAGCTGCAGCTTATGCTAACGATGTTACATGCTCAGATATGCAAATGGCAGTGGAGTAGATGCTTCTTTTTTCTTCCTTTTTCTCTTGCTCTTCATCCTCCCTTCGGATTTGTGTCAGGAGAGGGAAACAGCTTTCCCCTGTACCTAACTATTGTTTTCCTACTGGTGTCTTTTGAATAGTAGTACCAGGCAACGACGATTCCTTTTGTAAAAAGATATTTACAAATCTGATTTTTGAAAGACTTGAATCAAACCTTAGCATGAGGAATACTTGTCTCTGTATTCCAAGCAGGATCACAGCTTGCAGGGCTGAACATACCCAGAGCTCCTTAGTCAATGTCAAGCCTAACATAGACTGCACTGTGTTAAGCCAGTCTATTAAATAATGTAGACTTGTTCGAGTGGCAACAGCAGGTTCACACCTCTCATCGTCCTGTTTTGCAGGTGGTAAGGTGAAGGTGAAAGGAAGAGAAGGTGGAGATGGAACTGCCAAATCATGCCAAACAACTGCTACTGCAGCTGAACCAGCAACGAGCCAAAGGTTTCCTCTGTGATGTGATCATTGTGGTAGAAAATGCCCTGTTTCGTGCCCATAAGAACATCCTGGCAGCCAGCAGCATGTATTTCAAATCCCTTGTCCTGCATGACAACCTGATTAACTTAGACACAGACATGGTGAACCCCACTGTGTTCCGGCAGATCTTGGACTTTATTTATACTGGTAAGCTCTTAACGACTGACCAGCCTGGTGAACAGAACTTTAATGCTCTCCTCACCGCAGCAAGCTACCTCCAACTGCACGACCTGGCAGCTCTCTGCAGAAAGAAGCTGAAGCGGAACGGCAAGTCCTTTGCTGGCAAGGCCGGTGGCCTTGGTGTTGGGAGATCTGCCAGGAGTCAGAGACTTTCCACTGCTTCGGTCATCCAAGCTCGTTATTCAGGGTCAAATGAGGGGTTGAAGGGCTCACACTCAAAGGAGCTGTCAAAGGGAAAGCTCTCCGATGACGAGGTCTTCATCAGCAGCTCCAACCAAGAGAACTGTCACTCCTTAAGCAGGGGAGCCAGTAAAAACGGTGGTGGGGGCAGCAGTGCAAATGGGAGCACTGGCGACCAGGAGCTAGGCCTCGACCTGTCCAAAAAAAGCCCATCGCTCCCTGTTGCAGCCTGCCACGATGACACGCAGCACAGCGAAAGCCAGCATGGCTCTCCCCAATCTGCCTCAGCCCCCGCAGCCAACAGTGCCTCATCGTTCGACGAGTCTGGAGTCGGAGCCCCTCACAGCATGGCGGACAGCAGCGACCCCATGGAGATGGATCTGAGCGAAGAGTGCCACCACTCATTGACGGAGAGCAGCCAGCGCAAGGGCCTCCGGCACTCATCCCGCAAGAAGGAGTGGATCAAGAAAGACAACGCCTTTGACCGAAAGGAGGGGGGCAAAGACAGGGACGAGGGCGAAGGGCTGCCCAATGGTATCCTGCTGGGGCCCTTGTCCAAGTCCGTGGAGCGGAGTCTGGCCGGGGCCTACGGTGCAGACCTGCCCTACCCGTGTAAGGAGGAGGTGGAAAATGGTAAGGAGAACAGCGACGACAGCGGCCAGAGCGAGAGCGAGAGCGGCGGGCATACTAGTGCCAACTATGTCTACCGGCAGGAGGGGTTTGAGCCAGTGGCCTACGGTGACAACCTGTATGTCTGTATCCCCTGTGGCAAAGGCTTCCCCAGCTCCGAGCAGCTCAATGCCCATGTGGAGACGCACACCGAGGAAGACCTTTACATCAAGGAAGAAGGCACGTACGGCGGCAAGGATGAAGCCGAGGATTTGTCCAACCCCAACCAGTCCTACGCCGCGGAGTCCCGGCCCTTCAAGTGTTCAGTGTGTGAGAAGAGCTACAAGGATCCAGCCACGCTGCGGCAGCATGAGAAGACTCACTGGCTGACGCGGCCCTTCCCTTGCAACATCTGCGGCAAGATGTTCACACAGCGGGGCACCATGACACGGCACATGCGCAGCCACTTAGGGCTCAAGCCCTTTGCTTGCGAGGAATGCGGGATGCGCTTTACCCGGCAGTACCGACTGACAGAGCATATGCGTGTCCACTCAGGAGAAAAACCTTACGAATGTCAACTGTGTGGTGGGAAATTCACCCAGCAGCGCAATCTGATCAGCCACCTGCGAATGCATACCTCTCCCACATAAGCCAAAGACTCCAGAATGAGCTTCGAGCCCATCCGCAGTGATTTACCTTTCTGTAGACTTGCTGCTTAAAAAAAAAAAGAAAAAAGAAAAAAAACAAAAAGGGGGCAACTCCCCATACTCTGTTCAGTCATGGGAGGCCTAAACAAATGTAGCTTTAACATTTAAAAAAAAAAAGTTCCTTTTTTCCCTTTTTTTAAAAAAAGAAAGGTCCACAGCCAAGCTGATGCATTTAGTCCAACTCTCCCTCCAAATCTTGGTGATCAGGCAAGAAATGCCACTTCTTTTTGCGCACATCGACTTCATTGCCATATTGATTATCTGGAGCAGGTAGGGGGACCATGGGGAACTTTGCTGGCTCTCCCCTCCCTCTTTCCTTCGTGTTACTGTCACCCTACTCTCCTCCTCTCTTAAAACCAAACTCGGGGGGGGGGGCATTTCTTGCCATTAATAAGAAAATGAAGTACATCTTTTCAGTGGCCTGAGTAGCTGTGAAATAACATAGCATTGCATTCACAAGCGCAGAAGCTGTGTCTGTGGACCATCTCACAGGGTTGGCAGCCCCTTCGGATACTGTGGGAAAGCCATAGCCGTGGTGGAACCCACCACCCTTCCCCTGGGCTGGTGATGGCGGGGAGAGCAGCTTACCTAGGTGTGCACCAGCCAGAGTGCTTCACTCAAAGAAATGGCGGTGCCTCCTCACCATCCCTCCCTCTTCTGGTTTTGATCTTTACCCTTGGCACACGTAACCACACGCCACCTTTTCCCACAAAACACACAAACCTCTTCTGCCTTACCCATGACTGAACAGGGACTGGATGCCCTGGGAATTTCTTTCAGTGAGCAGGGGGTCGTCTTTACTTTTCTAGTAGTTTCGTATGAATATTCTTTGCTTAGAGGTACTTGTTTTATTAAAGGAAAAACCATTGTAACGTTTATGTGAATGTTTGAACTGGACGGTCTGAGGTTAATTCTAGGGTGGGTGGGCGGGGAGGGGGTTTGATGTAGGCTGGACTTGCTACAAGTTCTTTAGGTACTTTTTTATTATTTTTTATTTTATTTTTTGTGTGTGTGTATGTTTTTAGCTTTCCTCCCTCACTAAAGAGCGAGTCTGTGTGGACAGACTTGTTACCTTTGCTACCTCTTGAATTCATGAGAACAATAAGATGGTTAGTGAAAGATTAGGCATTTTTTTCTCTTATTGTAAGTAATTAAATGTATAAAAGTAGAAGCTAAATTAAAGTTAAGGGATTTTTACCACCCCGTCCTTCCATCAAAAGTCAGCTAGAGAAATGTTAAAGCAAAGCTTGGCCAAAGACAAAGCAAAAAATATGTTGAGCCAGGGGCTGTGCTGGCTGCTTGGACTGGCTCACTCACAGTCTCTTGGCTGTTTGTAGTCACTTTTAGATAAAAGAAGAAAACTTCTCTGAGCTTTTTGGGCCCTTTCCAGCTTTGTTTATTGAATCTGGATACTATGGGGAGGGGAAAATGTCCCCCTCATCTTCCACTCCCCCAGCACATCTGGGTCAGTCTGTAAACACCTGGCAGGACAGAGGGTGAGGGCATAGCAGCCTATAATTTACTAGAATCCAGAGTGCAATAAGGTGGGGGAGAGGAGGAAAAAGCAAACCAAAGTGTTTCATATCCTCCCTTTTAGACAATTTAACACACGCACACAAAAAAAAAAAAGAAAAATGAAAAGAAAAAGAAACAAAATGTTCTTGCAACATCTGCATAAGACATCACAGCCAACAGCTGCTATTGGTTTAGGAGAGAAGACAGAGAACTTAGCCCACCGATTCTTGGCCCTCTTGACTTTGTTGGCGTGACCTTGTGGAAAGCTATGGCTTATTTCAAGCCTCCTGTGACTGTGGTGGTAAAAATTCACAGCCAGTAGAATCATCCCTTCTGAATTGAGTAAGGTTTACACTTGTGTTTTTTCATTTGTTTTTGTTTTGTTTTTTTTTTCCACTCAAACCAGTATAGTCTGTATGCGTAAGGTTTACCAAACCTCACGTTTTGTCTTTTTTAAAAAAAAAACAAAACCAATTTTTTTAAGTTTCGACCAAAAAAGAAAAAAGAAAAAAAAGTGAGCATGTTTGACTAAAACAAAGAAATATAAGCTTCATTTTCTATTGGGTTTTTTTGTTTGTTTTTTGATTTTTTTTTTGTTTTGTTTTTTTTTTTTGTTAAGGTAGACTAGTCCATAAGAAGTTTTTGGGTCAATTGACTGAACTGAGGAAACTGGAATCCAGGCTCCAAGCAATAGACAACCCAAAGGCGCTGAGCCTTGGCCTGGTGTCACATTACAGGGAACACGCTCGCCCCTCTCGCCCGCCGCGCTCCAGTTGCTTCTCCCAGTGCCATTGTCTGCTTCCTCCCGGACGCCTGCGAGCTGTGGAGCGTGAGAGGGGAGCATGGACTTTTGTTTTTTTCTAATTGTGCTGAGATGCGCTGTTTTCTTTTGGGGGGTTAACTGGGTTTTTAGTGTCTTTAGCACTTCCACATTTTGAATATATATTGAATTCTTTTCTCCTTGATTCCTTGCCAACCCCCCTGAGAATGTCCCCAAAATAGTCTTTGGGGAGGACAGGGAAGGCCTTGCCATCTACCTTTTTCTCAGAGCGAGTCTCAGCAGGGCCCAGGGACAGCCGTGCAAGATTAGTTCCTAGGCACTTTCACCCTGCCTTTACCTTCCCTCCAACCATCCTAAACCTGAGCTGAATCCCACTCTGGCTTAGGCTGCAGCCAGATCAGGCTCCCCTTGCTGCTGGCTGGCTGTGGACCCATCAAGTCCAGATTTTCAAAGCAATTTTTAGCTCCCTTAGTGAGAAGGGCACAGCCGGGGATGAGCCCTGTGTCCCCCACTGTGGGTTTTGGACACAGGTTTCCCCCATCCATTCGTGGCCCTGCAGTTTGCTGAGGTGGGTCTGCCACCGCCACCGCTGGGGACGGCAGGCGAGTGTCTGCGCAGAAGCCACCCTTGGGACAGCAGCTCAAGCTGTGACTGACTGAGCCAAGCCACGGGGCAGCCCGAGGGGCGAGGCAGCAGTGAGCTCCGCAGAGGGCAAATAACCTGCTCCCCCTCACTTAATTCCATTTTTACAAGCATGTGTGTGGGTGATGTAGCCTCTCCCCCAAGCCCCCTCTTCATTTGCTTCTTAAGCCTTGAGAATCATGTTGAAGTTTCAGGACCCAATGCTATTTTTAAAAAATTTTTTTCAGAGTGTCTTTTTTTTTTTACTTTATCCCCTCCCCAGCACTTAAACAATACGACATAAAGTCTGTGTACAGCAAGAGTATTGTACAAAAGGAAATTTTGTTCTTTTTTTCAAGTAGCTGTGTAAAGTTGTGTTCCATAGATTGAGTATAAACAACATTTTCCAAATTGTGACAGTAATAATGAATAACTAATAATACTCAAAACTTCAGGGACTGTTTCAGGCCTGCTTGGGGCCTAAACACTCAACTGCATTTGTACGACATAGTATTGTATCAAACATTTTTCTGTATTTTAATGAGAAAGCAAAACACTAGTTTCATATTTAAGATTTTAAGAGTTTGGGGGGGGGGAGGGAATTGCATTTTTGGTTTTTTTTATTTTATTTTAATTTTTTTTGAAATACACAAAGAGCCTCAAGAGGAATAAAACAATTTAAAACAAACAAAAAAACAAAAAGAAAAAAAAAAAGAGGCCAGGCAGCTTAAGTATATGCTTTAGTCACTTAGTTCCAGAATGTTTTCGGAGTAACAGGAAAAAAAGAAGATAAAATAGCAAAAGTTGTATAAAAGAATAAAGAAGCTCATACCCAAATTCACAAAACTATTTTTTAAACCAAAGCACATTTGAATGAGTATGGAACCTCACTTGGCTCAGAAAAGTACTAATATATTTATCTCATTGTTTACATAAACTTTTACAGTTTCAGACCTCAACAGATCTAGGGGCCAGTCAAAATTAATCTTTGCTTTTTCCATTGGTTTGTCTCTGAAGGCTACGCAGTGTTCCCCCGCTTGGGAGGGGAGATCTGTGTCCCAGCCTGCATTCCAGCACTACTTGGGGAGGGCGGGGAGAGGGAGGGCAATTAGAAATACGGCACGTAGATATTATTTTTTTTGTCTTCAACCCATGAGAGATGTTGCTGGGAGTGAGACCCAGACACTATTGCGGAGGCATTCCAGCCTACCTCTTCCTCAGAGGAGTCTGAGGGTACCGAGAGGGTAAAGAGAGATGTGAGAAGCTCTAGAGATAGAGAAGGGTGTTGTCAGAAGATGGTGGGAGCTGCTGTACCCAGCACATCTCCTTAACGTTAGCCACGGGGAGCTGGGCTGAGCTGTTTTCCAATCCTTTACTGCAAAACCTCCAAAAACAAATTCCTGGCAAAAAACCCCAAAAGCCCAGCTCTGTGCATTTGGGGGAGCTAGCAGGAGCCACAAAGATCACAGAAGACACCAAAGAGCTACTGACACGCAGCTTCTGTGAGGCTTTGTGGCTGCTGACATGGAAGAGTACGCACAACTCTGAACCGCCCCTCTGTGCCGGGCAGGGGCTGCGGCAGAGGTGGCTGATCTCCCTGCGGTGACTTGGGTAGCTTTAATGGTCTGGCGTGAGGGCGAGAGCACGGGCGCCTTGCTGCCTCCTCCCGTTCAGAGCTGTGCTGGGGCCTGAGCTGTACTGTTCGGTCCATCTGAGCCACCTTTGAATTAAACAGCTGGATCGATTCACTCCAGACCTTACAGTCATGCGCAAAGAGCCCAACCAAAACTCCTAAGGCTTTCTAGGTAGAAACCTAAGCTTGATTTGCATGTTAGAACAGTCTAAAGATGACCAATGGTTTGCTAAAATACCGCTGAAGCCAAAAAAAAAAAAAAAAGATTTAAAAAAAAGCTCCCCATCATTAGACTTGACCCTTTGTAGCTTTTACCTTCTACACCAAAGCCACCTCAAACATTTGAGGGGGGGCTGATGGAAAATGAAATATTAATTTTGCCTGGTCTTAATATCTAACAAAGATGGTGCAAACACTATTTGACAGTGTTGTTTTTGTATCAATATGTATGTGCAGTAATGAATGTATTTATTTCTCAGATTCTGT